AAAAAACGAACAAACCGGTTGTTCTGCATAAACGAACAGGCCCCAGATAGCTCAATTGAGCGTTTGTCTAGAGTTCGGAGGGTCCTGAGTTCGAGCCCCGAATTGACCGTTGCATTTTTCTTTCTCCTGTAACAAATTTGACGCCCAATAAAATATAACCACGGAGTCTGGTATAGGGTCTCGTGTGTCTTCTGGGTTGAAGACTTATTTTAAAGGAGGGGGGAATGTAGTGGAATTGGACTGGGTCGATCGCCGGCGACCAGGTAGCTTAATTGAGCGTCCGTCTAGAGTTCGGAGGGTCCCGGGTTCAAACCCCGGTCTGGCCGTTGCATATCTCTTTCTCCTGTTACAAAAGTATAGCGATACTTAGAAGATACAGCTTATACGCCTAAGCTTGAACAGATCAATGAAGTCAGTATACAGACTTAAGCAATGCTAAAATCCATTTGGAGACATGCATACTTCGACGTGGTACCAGAAACTTCAACATGAGATACGAGCATCTAGCTCACAATTCCGAAACATTTTTTTTGCAATGTGAATTGTCAATATTAGCCTTGTAATGCACATTTAGTGTTATTACTGCTGCAGAAAATAGACAGGACGGCAGCGTGGATTTAAGCGAACATTTAATTCTCATGTGACCGCTTAAAATGACACTTGTAAACAATGACGCATATTTAAATGCGACTTTGACATAAAACTGACTCATTCTATGCTAACATTTAGTACACATCTAAATAGTGGCAATGCAAATATGCGTTGAAGCTACCACAGTGATATATATAGATCGATAAGGGTTGTCGTAATGTAGGAAATGCATCGTTAATAGCAAAACTGCTTCATACTTTACTACAAGGGGCCTCAACGGTCACCTGACATCCGATTCTAATTAGGACTGTCATCCAGGGGCTAATTCATACTTTTCGTCGGTCCGAATGACCTTGCTGCATCGTCCATTAATTTTTCCTTGTGAACACAATCACTTTCGATGAGACTTTGTTTGCAGCTTTGTATCAATGAGATCTTGGATGAGTTTGAATACCGGACCAATTTGACCATAACTTACATAGTTATTCCCGTTGGTAATTCTATTATTGTTGGACCCTGTGAACACGATAACTGAAATAAATGGGTGTGACTCCATATTTGACCCAAGGGGTCTGTTTTGAACAAACTTGGTAACTGTATGTCTTCTGCTCTTGGTTAAAAGAAACAAGTAAAAGCGTAAATCAATGATTTATTAAATAAGGCACAAAATTTGAATAGCACCTTGTTAGTAGCAAAAATGAGTCATGAATAAAAAAAGGTGTACCACATGAATTTATATCTATTCTTGTGTAATGTCAATCAACATCACAGGGACAAATAATAATATAATGACAAAGGGCAATAACTCTGCAGGTTACCGTCAAATAATTACCGGACAAAGTTTCATTGAACTCCGTCAATATTTATTCAAGTTATCATGTTTACATGGTCCAATAATAATATTATTACAAAGGGCAATAACTCTATTAGTTACTGTCAAATAATTCCCAGTTTCGAACTCCTCTGAAATCTTATTGATATAAGTCTACATACAGAGTTTCATCAAACTTAGTTGATATTTACTCAAGTTATCGTGAACACAAGGTCCAATACAAAATAGTGTAATAATATTATTACAAAGGGCAATAACTCTGTAGGTTACTGTCGAATAATTCCCATTTTACAACTCATCCGAGATCTTATTGATATAAGGCTGCATACAAAGTTTCGTCAAACTTGGTTGATAATTACTTAAGTAATCATGTTCACAAGGTCCAATAATAATATTATTACAAAGGGCAATAAGTCTGTTAGTTCCTGTCGAATAATTCCCATTTAAAGTCCGGGATCTTATTGATATATGGCTGCATACAAAGTTTCATAAAACTCGGTTAACATTTACTCAAGTTATCATGTTCACAAGGTCCAATAATAATATTATTACAAAGGGCAATAACTCTGTAGGTTACTGTCGAATAATTCCCATTTTACAACTCATCCGAGATCTTATTGATATATGGCTGCATACAAAGTTTCATAAAACTCGGTTAACATTTACTGAAGTTGTGTACACAAGGAAAAGTTAACGCACGGCGCACGACGGACGACGACGGACAAAAGGCTGTCATGACCTATGCTCAGGTAACCTAAAAATCAAGTTTAGCCCCCTCTGGATTAAATTCAATAACAAAACCCTTAACTCTGCATATTTATCAATGATTGACTTTTTTCGAGGTCGATACGTTGTTATGTGAACCTGATAGAATGATGTTAACATTACTCTTTCAAGTCCATATAACAACGTAATAATCGGGACAAAATTTCTTCATTTTTGTAGTACATATTATCATTAGAGAACATAAGATATAAGATTTCGAAATGTGAGAATGAAGGGTTGGCTTTTGGAACGAAATATCCGGATCTTAACCAATGATTAGCCATTTAGAATCAAGAAAACCATACCGTATGTTATATACTAAAATAATGTTACCCAATATCAATACGGTATGGACTACAGACCTGTCTTTGATATTGCTAGCCATATACAGCATGCTTATAAATCAATAACATATTCAGCCAAATTCTTGTCAATGCTCGTTAATTTGAAATGGATACGGAACGTTACCATGACAGCTTAATAACGAATAACAGATAAATGACAGTTATTAGTCAAATTCAATACATATGTTCCGTACCGGGTGACTCGTTGCACACGTGTCAATGGCGCGTTACAGCCAGGCAAATGGAGTTGCGTCACGTCCAGTAGAATCTGGTAACGTGACTTGGCCACCATTATGCGTACGTCTGCCGTTCCCATGACGAGACGCTGATGGATCACAGTCTTTTTTCTCTCTTTATGTTTGTGTGTCTATTTCTCACTTTTATGTCCTTGCCAGTTTCTTATGAAATGAAATCAATATTTTGTGCACGATTTATATCTGTCGCAGATTTGTTCTATTATAGTGATATTATATTCGGTTTGTAATATTTCGTGGTATATTTTGAGGACTAAATGGTCGATAACTATAAAAGAAATATACGGGGATACCCAAGCGTTCAAAAATTGATATTAAGTAAGTTATCAGTTCACATAAAACGAGAAATTACAGAAAACAGAATAGATTTTATAATAATAATTGACAAATGGTGTGTAATGAATTCGGGACCTGCTAAACACCAGTAAATGTTCCTACTGTGTGTGTTCGTATATGTAAAACAACAGACGCTTTTTATTGCAATTTCTTAATCCGATATAAATAGTTACCGATTTTGTCAGAGACAAGTATATAGAAGCGCTCATGCCACATTTTGCGGTAGTTAGCAATATACTATGAAATATTCCTCTTAAATACATACTCCGTGTTAAGGGTCTACTTGTTAACTCATTCACCCCTGAAATTTCCCAATGAATTCTACCTTGAACATTTGTTGAACATGACCGAAGCTTGATATCGATTTTACCAATCACAAGTGTACATCGTTATCAATAATACGCTATACCTGTAGCTAGTGAAAATATACTAATCCGCCTTTGTTCAGAATCATTAGGAGTTCGTGTGTCTAAATCAAAAAAGGTATTCGCTTGGGACGTACCAGATCATTAATGGACACATATTAATGATGGTACGAGTAGGGCGTTTTTGTGTCTGATTTGTTGTCCAGAAACTTATTGTGTTCTAGATGAAATAAGATTACCAGAAGAAATAATGATTATCAGAAAGAGATCAATTGGATCTGGGTATCCTGTTTGGACGAATAAAGAGGTGGTACTACGATCGACGGAAGTGTAGACATGGAATACGCTAACGGTATTATTATTATTTTCTATTTACGAAAAGGAACGGTGAAGGAGTTGGGCCCGTATTTATGAAACCATTGTCGTGCTCAGGCATTGAGTTGGTACTAAAGTAAACTTACTCGTAACTTGTTGAAATCCTGCGACACAGACAGCCAACAAGTAAAATATATACACTGAAAACAGTATTTAGCTTTAAGTCTTCCAAAAGTTCCTTCAAGTCACTGAAAAACGGCAATTATAACCGAAAAGAGGAAGTATACGAATGCCACCCAAGTATATTAAATCAGCCCCGTTCGGAGGTGTGAGAAAGTCATTCAAACCCCGGTATAGAATATCACCAGCCTTCGCTTCTCGCATAACCCATCGCATTTTAATAACTGCAAACATCGGAGACAGCACATATATGTGTGTAAACATATGGCGATAAAGGGTCATTCAGATCTTACAGTCCAGACAACAGCATTTGTCATTTTTAACAGCATCCATCTTCTTCTACAAGAAGAAGCGATATTGTATAAAGCATATACACCCACGGCTATGTACCACTTTTTAAATATGGACATAGGCTTATGTTCAGTTTAAGAGCATTTCGAAGCCTAATGCATATGTATGGACCTCCTCTAGGCGTCTTTAATATTAATGAAAACGTTCTAGTCCATGTTGTTGTACTAATGTTATTTTTGCTTTTGTTGTTGTTGTTATTCTTGGTTTCCATGGTGGTGGTGGTGGTGGTTGTAATGGTTGTAATGGTGTCATGTTTGTAGATGGTGTTGGTGGTTATGGTGGTGGTGATGATGATGGTTGTGGTGGTGATGGTGGTGGTGGTGGTGATGGTGGTGGTGGTGATGTTGCTGATGATGATGGTTGTGATGGTGGTGATGGTGGTGGTGGTGGTGGTGGTGGTGTACGTGGTGGTGTTGGTGTTGGTGGGAATTATGGCAGAAATGGTGTCATGTTTGTATATTAGGTGTACTGGTGTTGTTGATGATGGTGTTGTTGTTGTTGTTGTTGGTGGTGGTGGTTTAGGGGGTTTGGTGGTTATGGTGGTGGTAGAAGTGGTATCATGTTTGTGTACTGGTGTTGTTGCTCTGCTGCTGTGTTTGTTGCTGTGGAGGTGGTGGTGGTAGTTGCGTTGTTGATGTCAGGTTCGTAATACATTCGGACTACTTACTGGTGTAGTTCCGGAAGTTTCCGAACAGCAACGCTTCCCTCTGGTTTATCTGCATAGGAATGGACGGATTAATCTGGAACTTATCAAAATTGGAAATCCGAGCTTTCCAACCATCGTCCTGAAATGATACGAAACAGACGTGTGTGTTCATGAGAAATGTGTTGCATAAAATACTAGAATTCACGCCACCATCTCATTCGAGTGACCATTCTTTCTAAATATACTGCGTTCGTGTTGGGATGAGAATGTACGGTGTAACAGGGGGATGCATATTAAACAGAATTACACAAAATAACAGTTGCAAATGACACCATTTTGCGTAATATTGAATATCCATCATACCTATGTGTCTAATGGAAGCACGACAGCTGGACCCGCTCCTGATCATACATACTGAATAAATTAATTTGTAAAACGAACTGAAAATCTGATATGTATCAAATGAATCTTTTCAAGTCATGACACAAAGCAAAGGTAACGTTCCTTACTCTGAAACATATGTGCGAGGTAACGCCAATATCTGATGTTTCATACCGGTGTCCATTCGACTAACTGTATGGATTAGAATGTATCATATGGACTACAGGTTGTTATACTTGCCTCCGTACTCGGCTTTGTTTTCCAGTCCTTTGTGATGCCCAGCCCGACGGAAACCTCTGTAAATAAATGACAGGGATAGTTTTGAATTAAGATATGACCAGATGATATGGTGTAATACATAACAAGGGTGATAAAATATTAGAAAACAATAACGAAGGCCACTTAAAAATGTAATAGCTATGTTAAGTTGCCTAAAAGACTCTGAAGAAGTATATTCAATTCAAGCGACCTTCGCTCTTTTTCCCCGAACATTTCTTCATCACTTTTAAATGTTCTCTCTATGACTGCAACGATACGCATACCTCACGATACGATACGTTTCGTTCGATACTTACGATACGATACGTATCACGATACAAAGATTCAAAAAATAAGTACACTCTTTTAGAGTTTCATAAAAAAACGATTGATGATTTAGGTACAAACATAACAATTCGATACGATACACATGGAGCGCGTGCTAGCATCCGGGCCAGCACGAGTGATTGATTTAAGTTGAAATAACTTATTTCATAGTTGTTGTAAAGTATATAAAGTTATATGTTTAACTCTCCGAATATTTAGCCCGCATTCTTATTATTTTGTAACAAAATCGAAATTACACTTTAGCGCAATATTCTACATCTACATCTCGGCAATATCTCAAAATGCAGTTCGGTTATCCTTGTTATAAATAAATTAATACATCTGTAGAGCAGCTATAATTTATTTTAATGTCATACATCATATACATAAACAAAATATCAATGTTCAATTAATACTCAGTTTATCATCGAGTAGATAGGTCATAGATAGGCCGTACCGTCACCGGACAAACAAAAGTCGTACCAATTTTGTATTTTATAGTGTTTGCTTCCTTTTGTTCGACGCGTGTTACGAAAATCGACGTTTCAATGAAAGGGCTAACGATTCTATAAGTCATCAACGCTAGTTCAAACATTGTGGCTGGGACTCTTGAAGCTATGACAGGATACAAAGCAACTTCTACACTGTATATATCGATTGTCGTCCTCTTTAATGGATCCCTGTCCGATATATGGACGATTCAAGTATATTGCTTATTAAAGTTGATGTATATTTACCTATGTTTATGTCAATATTATGGTTATATCATTACAACCACTTAACTTGTTGCTCACAGTAAAACTATTCCATTTCGATAACCACACCCAAATAAGTCAATGGCACACGTGGATGTGTGACAATGTGCTCCAGACTTTGTTAAAGCCAAAACAAACATCAAATAAGTGTGTTTCATGTATCCCGACCTACCCTAGATTTTCCTGCCGACCTTATATATTTTATCACTTAATTGTATCTGCGATTCATTTATTAGCCAAACAAAGTTCACAGCCACTCATTAAAATGTACTTTCTTCCTGTTCTAGGAGTCTGTCCCTATTCTTGACAAATTAACAGCCGTTGTTATGTTTTGAAATGCATTGTAAAAAGTTAAAAAGGATAATATTGATCCATAAAATAACAAATGAAATGATCTGCCTACCGACCTACCCTATTTTTTTCATGCATGTTACCTGAAACACACTTATTATTTCTATGGCCTTAGACGAGAGAAAACTCGGGCTAAGTAACAACATTTACCGGGATTTAAGTGAGTGAAACAAGATCTATGTTGTGTAAAAAAGACAAATTGTAAATAAACAGATTACGGGATGTCAATTGAAATGCAGGCTTCGATTGCTTGAACGTCCATTAACTTTAGCCAGTGGTTAGTGAACATTTTGTATTTGTACCAACAAGCAACAATGTCTTTCACAGCAAAAAAAATCCTCAGAACACGTCAATCTTATGTGTCTCATCAAATGTTCTTGATTTGTTTGATTTAAAATAACATCGTATTTTTAAAATTTCCCAAACCACAAGTTAACTTCATCTGTAACGAACATTTGAGAAACCGGGCTCAATGATAATGCCTTTCCACAAACTAAAATCATCGAAAAAATGCAGTACGGGTTGACTTTATTTTGTCCGTCTATGGTGAAACCGTTCATCAACGAAATAAGATCTTTAGTAGGGCCGTTTTGCGGTAAAATGGTTTGTAACAACGAGATATCCTGAAACGTCACAATAAGATATTCATTAAGATCTCAATGTTTTAACGAGTTGTCATTTAATGTTATAACGAGCTGTCATTTAATTTTTGAACTAATTCATCCCTGAAATTTCATAATGAAAACTATTCTTATTTTGAATTGGACGCGTTCAAATGTGTCTTCAGGGGTGAATGAGTTAAAGAGATGTCATTTAACGTTATAACGAGATGTCATTTGATATTTTAACGAGATGTCATTTAACGTTATAACGAGATGTCATTTGATATTTTAACGAGATGTCATTTAACGTTATAACGAGATGTCATTTGATATTTTAACGAGATGTCATTTAACGTTATAACGAGATGTCATTTGATATTTTAACGAGATGTCATTTAACGTTATAACGAGATGTCATTTGATATTTTAACGAGATGTCATTTAACGTTATAACGAGATGTCATTTGATATTTTAACGAGATGTCATAATCAGATGTCATTAAATATTTTAACGAGAGATCATTATAGATAAGAACAAGATATCGACGTCTACGGGAGATTAAGACGAGAACCAAATCCGGTATGATTAGACACGTAGCCTTATCATTGGGTATTATAAAGGGATAATCACACCTTCATCAGTGACCATTATAACGAGATAACATGTCTGCCTTATCATTGGCCTTTCAAACTGGTGATGAAAGCCGATAGACACGAGGAGGATAAATACATGGATTAATCGGCATCGTCGTGGAGCTTGTCATATCGATTTCTTATTATGAAACCAGTCATGTCAATAACACTCTTGAAATGGACTGGCCATTACTGTACCGACCTTTATATATCATCAGCCTTCCTACTCCGATTTTTAAGCATCCGACTAACGAATATTTTACTTTATTAAAACGCAATATCAATGTAAATACGAAAAGAATAGCTGATCTATTAAACATGTAGATTTGGTTGAAGTATGCTTATCAATTCATATTCCTTATCGCCTTGGAATCTATCTGCGACGCCTAAGTTTTGTTAGAATCTAGTATCTGCTTCGAAACATAATTACCATAACGGATCGTCGATCAGCATTATCTTAGTAATACGCCCAGAGAAGGCCGGGTTGATACAGAGACCTTCCGATATCGCTAGCGTTTCCGGTTTATACATAAATATATCCCCTGGGTTTTTCCGGCTACTGTTTCAGACTATAGAAATGAAGGAGTTGAAATGAAATATTGATTGTATACCAATCACTGGTTGAACGCCCTCAGAATACATGTTTATGGCAAATATATTTTAAAACCTGTATGGAATAATACATGTGCATGTACATAGAAAACTCCATCCATCTATATGCGAGTATATGGTTTTATTTGTTAGTCCCTGCAGGTAGGGCGTTAGTATTGTACCTGCTGCCCCCATTGCATGATCGTAAGTGGCGACTAAATTCGGGATCTTGTCTTTTCTCTTCTTTCTAAACAACTTTCTTCTTCCTTATGTCTCATTTGACAACGCCTCACTTTTGGCCTTTAGTAGAGCGTTCGCCCCTGTGAGGAAGGCTCTGGGTTCTGTCCCCTGACAGTCTGTAAAAATGGTAGTTTCAACTCCTGCTTAACGCTTAGAAATTTAGGAGTGGGACGACTGGTTCGCCCGTTGTCTGTATAATGTTACCGGGTGGGGTGTCCTGCTAGGTGTCTTTCAGCGAGGTAGCGGTATAAAGTCGGCATCAGTTCCGCGCTATCACAAGGAGACAGACACGAACATATCGCAGCCTCCTAAAACACGCACGCATGCATCTTACAAACAGGCCTAGGGGAGGCCGTCCTTAAATGACCATAGCTGTTGATAGGATGTTAAACACTAAACCAAACCATACCATTTGTTAGTAGAATAGGTGTCCTCTGTAGCGGCCGTAGTCGATATTTCTACTAAAGAGTCCCCTGTGATAGCCGCATGCTTCTGTTACTTCTGAGGTAAGCGTCTTACTTCTGAAGTTGCTTCTACTGTTACTATATGTATCGTGATACGTGTCGTATCGTGACTGCAGTATCGTGACCACAGTATCGTGATACGTATCGTATCGTTAGGTTAATGTATCGTTGCAGCCCTAGTATTCCTGTGTTTCTCTGCGCTCATTCCTTTGCCTCAGATAATGCAAGAAATCCTCTACGTCATACTATATTTATAGTGGTATTCATATCAGCATTAGTTCATTTCATGTCTATATTTTCCTTTCTTTAAATAATTTCTTTTGTAAATTACTTCACGACGTGTGTTATCGTCAAAATTCCAAATCAGCTGTTCTCAGGAAACTGACTTGTGGTTACCAACGTTTCAACTGCGCTGAAACGAACCATACGTTGTATGAGTTCAAAGAATAACGCAGCCGTGCAAAAAGATATTTACAAATGATATAACTCATATGCAGTAGAATGGAAGTATTTAAACAAGGATTTACATTATACAGCTAACGGGCGAAACATGGGTTATGACGTCGGCGTAATATGAGAGTTACTTGCAAAATGTCATGTTTGACACTATGTAAGGGAGTGCCCCCTCCTCGGATAAACAGGAAAACGTCTTAGCAATTTTGATGACATTCCAGAAGGCGCCACTTGCTATTTTGGTGAATTTTCTAAATGTGCCTCCTCACATTTAAAAAAGGCGCCAACTGAAATTTAGCTGAATTGCTAACCAGCAACTGTGCGAATGTTTTAAAGACGCTGTCTGATGTGTTTGAACAATTATTGTACAAGCACCGCATAATTTAACGGATCTGTCTCCCAAGAGAACTGATGAATGGGTTTCTCATTGTCCGTCAATAAATCTGGCTGGTCACTCAGCCCTAATCTCACGTGTTTGCCGCGCTGTAAGAGGAACTTATTTCTATCATATTGCCGTATTGATTTTTAACAAAGCAATTTCCTTTCCAGGACCTGCACATCCAAGTTATCTGTCCTGATGCGAAGGATTACAAAAGAGGTTGGGGACTGCTTCCGGGAAATG